CAGAAACCCTGCACTTTAATAAATACATTTTTTTACTGACATAACAAAAAATATATTTATTAACTTTCTGTCCAATGCTCAATTTATTAGGACTCATCAGGTTCGACCTTGGTACTCATACCTACAAAATCATTAATCTGGACTTCAATCTTCAAACATTTTATTAGCTCATTTTATAGAATAAGGTACTATTATTGATTCGTTCTGATAATGAATAGCACACAATTAATGAAAGCTGTGATTAAAATATAGATCTAATACAGCACATTCAGACCTACTGGATCACCATTGAGTTTAAAGTTTACAAACCTGTTTACGGTATATAAACAACATAGCTAATATTTCTGATACAGTTTAACACTTAGACAAATTTTAACGCTACAAAATAGTCGCGAATATAAAACACGAAGCTCTTATCTTAAAGTAGCTTTTATTATTTTTGTTTTACGAAAAAAGTCTATTTATTACATATATATTGGGTCGTGATTTTCATTTATGTAATTTTTACCTACATATTTCCAGATTGTGTTTCTTTGATTTCTGCTAACAAGGTTTTGGTATTACCCAAATTTTTAAGTTTGGGTTTAATTCACTCGAAGTAAGGACTTGCCCCCCAAATGCCCTGGTACGGCCGAGAGTGGGCAGAGTCTACTCTCCCTCTCGAAATGCTCTCACATGGCCAGCGAATATATAGCCTCTGCCAGGGAAGTCCTACTCACTGCCTTCTCGTGGCGGGGGTGTTGTTTACGAAAGTGAGAGGACGAAAAGCGAATGTCCGGCGATATAACCGGATTGGTGGACACGGAGGGTCCACCTAGGGGAGTTGGAAAACCCTGATTCCAAACCAATGGTGCACATGGGCTCCAGTATCCTGATGGAACGAATGGCGGACGAACCTGTCATTGGTCGACGTCTACCATGGGACTGCATCTCCTCACGATGCTCCACTGCCTTGTGGATCAGACCTTTAGGTCAAAGGCTCGGGGTGTGGTCCCCTAAGAAAACCACCTTCTTCGGTTTGGGCACCCGGGCAGTATCACAGCCCACACACAAATGAATGAACTCTTTTGACGATACTATTCCTGCTCATACTAGGAGCAAGATAATTTACATTATTATTATTATTATTTACCATATCGCTAACTCAACCCCTTTTATCCCCAATTTGTGTAACCTTACTTTTCAACTTATGCAGCAGCTCGCCCATGGTGGAAAATCTGTCCTATCTAAACGGTCTCCAGTCACTGTCTGGTTGAAATTGAATGCTTCCACCGATTACGAATACTGAAGCAGTCTTTCTGAAACCACGTACGCCGTTCAAGCTGGCTTCCTTCAACGTTCGCACACTAATGAATATCAGACAACAGATAGGGCTGGCTATGTCTTTGGAAGGTCTTAATGTTGATGTTTGTTGTCTATCCGAGACCCGTATTCAAGACTAGTGAAGTACTACAAATCCGCTCTCCATCTGTCGCCTCGAAAAGCTTGTCCCACGTGCACTTATCCGGGGACCCTGTGGCATCTTCGTCTGGTCTTGCTGGCGTTGGTGTCGCACTAAGCGCTAGGGTTGAGGCAGCACTAATCGATTGGATCCCCATTAACAGTCGGTTATGTGCTGTTAGATTAGAAAGTTCCATCAAAGTGAGAAGAAATCGGCGTGAGAAACGATGTCTTTTCATCATCTCCGCCTATGCCCCGACAGATTGCAGCCCAGATGCAATCAAGGATGGATTTTACCATCAGTTAACAGTTCTTCTCCAGAAAGCGCGTTCGACAGATATTGTAGTACTAGTCGGAGACTTGAATGCACAGGTCGGGCGTCTAGGCACAGAAGAGAGTCGTTTAGGTGGCCGATGGGGACTTGTTGGTCGCAGGACAGATAACGGGGACCGTTTGCTGCAACTGTGCACAGACCACAACCTGTTTCTGGCCAGCACTAACTTCCGGCACAGTCATCGCCGGTGTGCCACCTGGCGTCCTCCCTCTGCATCCCAAGCCTGGACTCAGATTGATCACATCGCGATCAGCTACCGCTGGCGTGGTTGTGTACAAGACTGCCGCTCCTTTTGGAGTACCTATCTGGAGTCTGATCATGCCCTGGTCTGCGCCAATCTCACCTTACTTTTCAGTGGCCGAAGGATTGACCACCACCAACGGATTGATATTAGTAAACTGGATGCAACTTCTGTTGCAAGTAAGTATCGAGCGGAGCTAGCCTCTAGGCTAGCTACCACCCCACCGAAAAGTATAGATGAGCATTGGTTGCTTCTTCACGACGCCATGAAAATGGCGAGTAAAGCCGCTTGCGGCTTCGCGAAACGTCCCGCTTACAAGCACTGGGTTTCTTCTGGCTCCTTACAACTGATCGAAGCCCGTCGGTCTACTCCGGGTGACCGTGAGTTTGACCACAAACGAAGGCTGTTACGTAATGAAATTGGGCAAAGCTTGCGTAAGGACCGGGAAGCCTGGTGGTCGGAGCGTGCTAATGAGATGGAAGCAGCAGCTGCATCTGGTAACTGCCGGAAGCTCTTCCAACTCATCCGAGCCACTGGCAGCAAGAAGTCTGGTGTGAGTGAAACTATCTACGAGGATGATGGGATGCCAATCACTAACATCTGTCGACGTCTTGGACGATGGGCGGAATTTTTCGAAGGGCAGTTCAACTGGCCTGCTGCTCCGGCAACATCAACCAGTTTGTCCTGCCCCCCATGGCCGGTGAAGACTGATCCACCAAACGAGGCGGAAGTCCGCAAGGAACTCCAACTCTTGAAACGTTACAAATCACCTGGCCCAGATGACTTACCTCCGGCTCTTTTTAAAGATGGTGGTGACTTTCTGACTAAGGAATTGACTGTGTTGTTTGTAAAGGTTTGGGAGCAAGAAAGTGTTCCAACATCTTGGAATGAGCCAATAGTCGTCCCTATCTTTAAAAAGGGTTCACGTTGTTCCTGCAATAACTATCGGGGGATAAGTCTACTTTCGATTGCGTCCAAACTATTGGCTTCTATCATTCTTCGTAGGTTGTTTAAAACCCGAGAACGATTGACTCGCGAGGAGCAGGCTGGTTTTCGTTCTGGTCGAGGATGCATTGATCACATCTTCACCCTCCGCCAAATGTTAGAACACCGTCATACTTATCGCAAGCCAACAATCGTAGTGTTTCTTGATATCAGGGCGGCCTTCGATTCGTTGGACAGGACTGTTCTCTGGGATTGTCTATTGAAGAAGGGTGTGCCTGAGAAGTTCATTAACATCTTAAAGGCCCTGTATACGAACACCTCAGGCAGAGTGAGGGCATACAACAACCTTTCTCCCTTGTTCCATTCGAGCAGTGGGGTTAGGCAGGGTTGCCCGATCTCCCCATTCCTCTTCAACTTTGCCATCGACGACATCCTAGAAACAGCTCTGATGGATGTAAGTAATGGCGGTGTGGATATGTTGCCTGGAGAACGACTTCTCGACCTTGAGTATGCGGATGATATTGTCTTACTGTGCGATAATGCCCAAGGCATGCAATCAGCACTTAATCAGTTGGCAATCAGTGTCCGCAGGTACGGCATGTGCTTTGCACCCTCCAAGTGCAAAGTACTCCTACAAGACTGGCAGGATTCTAATCCTGTACTCACTCTGGATGGTGAGGAGATCGAAGTATTTGAGAAGTTCGTGTATCTAGGTAGCTATATAAGTGCTGGTGGTGGCGTGAGTGATGAGATTGATGCACGTATAATGAAAGACAGAGCGGCTTATGCCAATCTGGGCCATCTTTGGCGCCTTCGTGATGTTAGTCTGGCTGTAAAAGGTCGGATCTACAACGCGTCGGTGAGAGCAGTTTTGCTCTATGCTTGTGAAACCTGGCCTCTCCGAGTTGAGGATGTTAGACGTCTCTCTGTGTTCGATCATCGTTGTCTCCGAAGGATTGCTGACATCCAGTGGCAACACCATGTTAGTAATGCAGTGGTTCGGCACCGTGTGTTGGGGCGCAGAGACGATAATTCAATTGGTGTCACCATCTTGAAACACCGACTTCGGTGGCTTGGACATGTTTTACGAATGTCGTCCCAGAGACTTCCACGTCGTGCATTATTTGCCGACCCTGGGACTGGTTGGAAAAAGCGGAGAGGAGATCAGTGTATGATATGGTGTCGTGGCATGAAAGAAAGCTGCAAAGGACTAGCTTCTGTTGGTCCTTCACGACTCCTTGGTTGGGGTCCGAGAGATGGTGCAACACAGTGGCTAGAGACGTTATCAGATATGGCTCAGAATAGAAGCCAGTGGCGATCCTGCTGCAACCTTCTTTTACTTTCTACATAAAGAATGGTTCTAACTTTCCTATTTGAAAGAGTCTTCTGGTTGTACATTTTAGTCCGCCTTATCTTTTCATCCCTTCTCTTCCTACTTTCATTATTTTGTGTGGCGCATATGTACCTGGTGCCCTTTTGTACCAATATATATGTGTTTAAATAAATAAATAAGGACTTCTGAACCACCATAGGAATACTGTTAAACTGAACTTCCCCAATCGTTAGACGATCCCATTGGATCACTAGAAAGTTGTGAATCTAGGTAAATTATTCTCTTAGTTAACTAATCATGCCTAATAAGACTCCAAACTTTTGCTTAATTGCCATAAAAACAGTTTGTAACCCCGTAAAGCATTAGTTTTCACTGGCCTACTATTTTTCTAGAGCTCGGGAATGTAAAACATTGCTTGGATACTTCCGACTAACTATTACGAATTTAGTGCACTTCAATATGACGGTTAGGATTCGAATTTATCGACAGCCAGAGCTTCAATGTCACTTGTCTAAAGCAATACAAAAAACCTGTTAACACATCCCACAACTCCTACATCACAATAAAATAAAGTATGACTGAAAAACAATAGCGACGTCTAGTTGTAACATATTACGGGCTCCGGAGCATAACAGACTCAAGAAAAGATGTACAATAATGTAGCTACAGTTATTCAGTCTAACAAACTTGATGATACAAATCATAAATTAACTTTGTTCCTGAAGAGCACGAGACATTTCTTCGAATGCTTCAACTGCGATTTGAGCCTCTGTCTTCCCCAGTTCTGTAGTAGCGCTCGACAACTCGGATTGTGCCCTAGACATTCCATCTTTAACAGCATTTAGGTCCAACTGATCAAGTGAAGCTGCTTCTTCGGCAAGAACTTGAATAGATGAGTCACTATTGACAGTTACAATACCGCTACTGACTAAAAAAGTTTAAGATTGAAGTATTTATGTATACTGGTTCGAGGATGGAGAAGTCAAGCTTGCAATTTATTTGTATCATTATTTTAAAGAAAAAACAGCACGAGTAACACTAAGTGTATTTTCAGAGACATAAATGATAACATACTAAACCAGTAAGTAATACGATTTTCTAAAGGGTAAAACACACCAAAGAATGTTGACTTAACGCAACTAACCTATATGTCACAAGACAATGTCATGAAATTATTACCTTTGCCTTTCGCACCCCTACATCCCCTGGTACGTTCGAGGGAGAGGAGAGTTCGCCCCCCTCTTGAAATACCATTGTTTGCGCCAATTCTACCTTACGTCTCAGTGGACAACAAATTCATCGTTCTAAACGGGTCGATGTCAGAAAGTTGGTTGCCGTTTCTGTTGCAACCAAATATTAAACCAAGATAGGTTCAAGGTTAGCTACCATCTCACCTAAAAGTATAGATGAGCATTGGCTGCAATTGCATGACGCCATGAAAATGAAGAGTAAAGTCGCTTACCTCTGGCCCTGTGTACAGATGAGGTCAACCTTTAGGTTAAGGAACTGACTTAGTTGTATGGCAATAAAAGAATTTCCCAATATTTTGGAATGAGTCTATAATTGTTCTAATCTTTACAAAGGGTTCACGTCGCCTAAGCAACAACTATCGGGTAATAAGCCTACTTCCAACTGAATCCAAACCATCTGCCTTCGTCACACGGTTCAAAACCCTAGAAACATTGACACTCGCAATGAGCAGGCTTGTTTTCGTTCTGGTCGAGAATGTATTGATACTATCATCGCCTTCTGCCGAATATTGTCCCAGCGAACTCCATATCTTGCATTGTTTGCCGATGCTGGGACTGGTTGGAAAAAAACAGTAATCAGTGCGTGACGTGTTGTCGTGGTATAAAAGCAGTAAAGAACTTGCTTTTGTTGGTCCTTCACAGCTCCCTGGTTAAGGTTCAAGAGATGTTGCGACGCAACCTTGAGACGCTATCACACATCGCTCAGAATAGAAGCCAGTGGCGATCCTTCTGCAACTTTCTTTTAATTTCCTTATAAAAACAAGAGTAAATCCCTCAACCAGAATTCTTTCCGGTTGTATTTTTCTTAACTGAATTGCTTTTACCATTATTACTATTATCATTACCATTATGATTATTGATCTTACCACCTTTCAAATAGTTTGCTTGACATGGTAGGAACCCAAATAATAAATATATCACCCAGTTAAGTTCGAAACTATAATCGCGACAGCCAAGTCTAGTTGCTGCATAGACGTAGCAGTTACAAGATATGTACGTTGCTAATTCTTACATAAATTTCCGTTAAATATGAGTAATGTTGTGATAAACTTGGTCAGAAGTGGTGAAAAAAATTCATATCTACTACAGCTTTGTATTATTAACCTTTTGATCAAAATAGCACGTTGCCTTAGAAAAGATGGAAATGTGGTGAGTAAAAGTACTGGTTTATAAGTAGCTTGTCCATCAAACATGGGAATTGAGGTCACTCGCATCAGTAGGATAAGAAGGTTGGAGGAAGGTTAGAGTCGCTAAACCAAGACGTAGCATCAGTTCATAGAGCTACTGATTGTTGGTCCGAACCATGTTGATGAGTGCAGATTACCTGCTTCGAGTTTGAGCGACAATCTTAATCAGTGTTTGGAAATGTTAACTCAAAACCGGTCCCGATAGTGCAGGTCCATTGTTGTTGTTTTTTACTTTCCTTAAGATCTTGAGCATTAGTAATCCTTCATACTCATCTTAACACCTTTTCAGAAAACATTCTCAGTGTCTAGTATTAGTGCTGCTGCTGTTAACCTAACCCCCTCGATAGTCATCTTGTAAACTGCATCTCGTTGAGTTGATTTGGCAGGGCAACTTGGAGTGACACTAGGCTCTACGTTGACTAGGATTGGCTACATAGAGCTTTGATGACTAAGACCTCCCCAAGGAGTTTCCCCAAATTGCCTTTGAATTTATCTTGAATCGTCAGATTTTGAGAAGTCTTAGCTCTATATGTCTACTTAACTTACATTATGCTGGTCGTTAGTTTTGCAATTAAAATGAATTACTTCTCCTAGCAGTCGGTATTTTTCATGTGGTGCCGCTTTTACAACTAAAGGATGATCGTATCCTAGGAGCCAGAAGTGATTGAACAGAATAACATGGCGAAGTATAAGGTTATATGAAAAGGAACTACAACGTTAATTATTACTGCGATTATTGGAAATGGTAACTCATAGATCATAGAACTAACATCAATATTGAGTGGAGAATCATTTGAATAGGTTATTAGTGCAATAACAAATACCTAGCATTCCTAACCAGTATTAATGAACTTAATGAACTATTCCCCGGACTAAGTAGATAAAACGTACCGAAATACTTTTTTACATTCCCGTCATTTTCAGTGACTGCAACAATACCAGGCTTCAGACAACCCACTGTGGGGACATGTTCAGGCAAAACACCAAAACGACCATTTAAAGTGGGGACGTCAACTTGCTTTACGGCGACATTGTTGTAAAAAGCTTGGCCTGATGAAGCGAAAGTAAGCTTGAGTTCCGTCAAACACTGTGTCGAAGTTTGAATACTCCGTAGTTGACTTGGAAGTCGAAAAATGGCAACCTTTCTGAAAAGCTAAAAGAGACAAAAATTGTTTGGAGGCCATGTAGTTAGCATTTTCACAGTCCGTAATATTTAAACATTTAAATAAGTATATGAAATGAAATTTTACTTGTCCGAAATCACTGATTAGTATGCAAACCTACGTGTGGCTTTTCTAGTTTTTATTTTAGCTTTCGCTGTTACAGAAGCAGGAAAGGAATTCTTGATCTTAAACGACCCTAGTAAAATATAAACATACTGAGGAACTATTTAACACTTGTCCTAAGTTATCTTATTTTTCAATAGACCTTAATCCGCTTAGCACAGATCACAAATGACTTTCAATACCTAGTTACAGGTGGTGGAACAACGGTTCGAATATTCTAACACATTCCAAACAATACCTTTTTCATTTGCAAACGCGCACACACTAAACCTATGGTAGTAAAGTGGTAAATAGAGTCCGAATGAGTGACACAAAGAGCATCTAACGAAGAATGCCTTTAGTAGTTTCAACCTTGCCCTAAAATATTACTTCTGAGATGTCCTAATGAAAACGGTGATTATTTACTGAGTAAGTAACCTTCAATCTTCGCAACACAAGAAATCGTGTACGTGATTAAGCCAATCACAATGTTCAAGATAAAGTAGGCGTTTTTATTACGAACCTAATCCAACATTAATGCACGGATGCTTTGCAGTTATATGAATATCAGCCTGTCAGTTAATGATGAAACTCGAAATCTACACGCCAGTCCTGACTCGTAGCCCTAACATGATAAGTCGTTAAGTTGTATTATTTGCTTTCTAATGGATAAAAAATGGCAAGATTTCGTTACGGTAATCTAACTAGTCACTAGATAGTCCATAGGTCTGCTCCACCCGAAACATTAAGCAAAAGCCGCACCAACCACTTTGTGAAAGAAATCTTAATACAAGAATGTAACCGATGGCAACCCAATAAGTACTTTCTAGCTTAGGCTAGACAGAAGATAAGAACAAAGGTAATCAACAAAATACCACGAAGTCAACAGGGAGGTCACCATTTTACCATTTGGCGCGCTATAAAAATCTCCTCCCCAAAAAATTAAACATTAATCAATTGATTCAAATGGTCGTGGACAATAGAAGAACCTTTCACTTGGGTGAACTTGTATCTAGTACAGTGGATTACTGATGCTCTCAGGTAGAAACCTAGATACAGTTAAAGATCAAGAGAGAAATATCAGTAAATTACAGTATATTGTATTCAGATTTGTGTAGTAAGGACAGAAGGCCTACGGCCTGTGCTATTCCTTTCCTAGTATGCTTCCATGAGTGTCTAGTCTTCTCCTGAGTGATTCAATTGAAGTTGTGGACACCACTGTTTCGGGTAGCAGGTTCCGAGAATTTATGACTCGGTGTGAAAACCTGTATACCACGGGTATTTCGTTCGTTCTTGGCTTTCCTACCCGCCTGCTATGTCCTCTGAGATGTCTCGATCTAGTGGGAGGAAGAAAAGAGAATATATTAGGTCCAAAATCATTTCCTAGTATTATATACATCAAAATCAAATCACCTCTTAATCTGAGATAGGACAGTGTAAAGAGGTCTAGCTTTTCAAGTCGCTCTTTGTATGGTCAACCCCAGAGTTCTGGAGTTGCACGGGTAGCTGCCCTCTCCACTTTTTCCGAGATATCTGAATCACCTTATAAACAGGGGCTTTCAGAATGAATCTCACTAAGGTTGTGTATACTGTAGTGGACATGATAGTATCTAACTTGGTGAATGTCTTAAAGCCCATGGGGTTCTAACCTCCTTAGCTGCAACCCTTCGGAGATGGGCTGTGGTCTTAAGATAATGACTCACTGTCACCCCGATATCCTTGCGAGACCGAAACATGGATAGATGTACTTCCTTCATGCTGTACATATTTACCTTTGTATCACCAAAGTGCATGTAGACACACTGTCGTACTGATAGGCATCAGCCACTCTTTAAACTAGTTAATCACAATGTTTAAGTCTGCCCGAATTGCTCATGCATCTGAGTCTGCCGTTATATCTCGCCAGATTTTTACATCATCAGTGTATAATAACATTGAGGACTCTACTATACTTGGGAGATCATTTACATACAATATAAAAAGTAAAAGGTCCTAGGACGGAACCTTGAAGAACTTCACCAAGTAATGGTCTCCAGGTGAAGTACTACGAATTTGTCCATACTTTCTGTCTGCGACCTACTGGTAAATCTTTAGTCCAAGATTTTCTAGCTGGAACAGCAGTCTATTTGTTGGCACCTTGTCAAACGCTTTGCTGAAGTCTATGTAGACAACATCAACTGATTTTTCACTGCTGATTATCCATTGCTCCCTCGCTATGAAAGTGTTTGTTGTGCAAGATAAACCTTTTCTAAAACCATGTTGTCTTCTGTTTAACAAGTTGTTGGTTTCCACAAAAGTCATTATGGTCCTTTTGACTATTCTCCACAGTATTTTAGCTGCGACACTGGTGAGGCTGACAGGTCTGCAGTTCGATGGAAGTTGTCTTAGTCTTGTTTTATGTATTGGAGTGACGATTGCATCTCCTCAGTCCATAGGTAACATATCTTGGTCAAGTGACATATTGAATATCACAGTTAGTGGGGCTGTAATATATTATTCAAATTGTCTTGGGATTTGGGTTTTAGTTCATCCGGTTCTGTTGACTTCTGTCCATGGTGCTAAGAGCCTTAAGTACATCGTCTTGATCAAAGTCCGCAGTGAGCAGATGGTTTGTTGACTTTAAATTTGGGTCTATTTCCTCGTCTAGAAGAAGAGCCTCAGTGGAGACTTCCCCCAAACAATTTGCCATAGCTCCACCTTTTCCTGATCGCAACTGTTCGTTTAAGAGTATTGTAGGGACAAATAGATCCTCAAAATAAATAGTTCTCTTAGTCTTCGAATTTTCATGCTGACCTCATTAGTTTTAACCGACACATCTAGCTGAAGACGTTCAGTCACGCACTCTCACCAAGATCACCAGTAAGTACGCTGTGCTACGCATCTCGTACGACCGTTAGCCAGCTTACATCAAACGCTTCTTAATATATGGATGGCCTTCCAAAGTATCATGGAACCTCTTCACTTCTGACTTCCCATTTGAATAGATTGGCATACTTCGTTTGTGTTTCTGGTAAATGCGTTGTCAAACTCCGAATGCTTGTTGCATCTTCAGTGTGAATCTGACGTGATCTGGTACAATCCGAAGCTGAACAGGAACCAACTTCGTGGAAATGCGAAACTCATCCGTTTTGACGACAACGTAGAAGAAGCATTCTTCACAGTTAAGAAACCTATCTCCAGGGCAACCCTGCTGGCACATCAATGCACTCAAGTGCTCATTGGTATCGCAGTAGACGCATCCGACTCAGCAATCGGAGGAGTCTTAACACTCCTGGCAACCCTGGCATTTTCTCCAGTCGGTTGCTAGGCACTGAATCGAGGTACGGAACTTTCGGTAGGGAATTCCTAGCTATGTGTTGTGCTGCACGGCATTTTCAACTCTCTATCGAAGGTACAGAATCCACGCTTTTTACTGATCATAAACCCCTTACTTTCTCTTTAAGCACATCTTCAGACAAGTACTCACCTCGTGAGTTTCGACAACTGCACTACATTTCACAGTTTACTCCAGATATACAACACATTTCTGGAGCAAACAATGTTGTCACAGACGCCTTGTCTCGCATGACTTCCTTGAACAGTTTTAAAGAAATCGAACCTCTTAAACTCGCCAAGCTTCAGAAAGAATACACTGATCTTCAGCACTAGTTATTTTCGACAACTGTAAAACTGCGTTTGAAACAGATGGTAACAGGTAAGGAAAACTTACTATGTGACACATATGCATGCATGGGTCGTCCGATCGTGCCATTTCATGAGATGGCCGGAAGCAATACCCATCAAGGACATTGCTGCTGAAACAGTGACTTGCGCCTTCGTCGAACGATCGGTAGATAACTTCAGATGGCCTTCAACTATCATTACAGACCGTGGACGCTAGCTCGAATCTGAACTTTTCTATTGTCTGACCACACCTTCAGGAATCATACAATTCTGAACGACCGCCTACCAGCCACGAGCCAACGGGTCGATGGAACGCTTTCACCGACAACTAAAAGCTTCACTCTCAGCTGCAAAGGACGCTCTTAATCACTGTTCGTGTTGCAGAGAAAGCTGACACTGTATAGACTACAGCACAAAGTGTTTACGAAACGACACTCCGACTTCCAGGAGTATTCGTGGATCCTCCATTTTCTACAGTGGATATAGATCTAAACTCCCGCATAAGCGAGCTTACAAACTCCATGCGTTCCGTTAAACCTGTTTCCCTTCGACCCCGGTCAACAGATGTCTTTGTCAAATATGCCCTACTATATAGTGCTACGACAGTCACAAGAATAGTCTAGTTTCATAAGAAAGGCTAAAATCTCTTCTGGAACGATTACCACTGGTATATATCATACCAACTCGATTTTCCGTATGACCTTTGCTCTCTGATCGATTATCATGTTTGTTAGTTCTCTAAATTGCCACAGGCTCGAAAGTCATATTCTGTTACGACAGTAACAAATTTTGTGCCAATTTCTTTTGAGTTGCTTCATCTACCACAAATATCAAATCACCTGAAATTCCGTCTTCTTCCTGTTATAGCCACCGAGGTCTTTACTGAGCGTAAACGACTGCTTCTAGTTCCGAAGAAAACCTGTCGTATTAGAGGAGCTCAATCGTTTTTGTTCCTAAATCCTTAACGTCACCGGCTGCACTGAACTGCAATAACAAGAAGCATAATACAGTACACACGTTTTCATTCCAACAGTCTCTCGACAGGGTAAACGAAGATCCCTCCAAAGTCATTCAGAGTGAACCTAAGTACTATATCATCGATAGGAACGGAACTAACTAGCATTAGCATAGTTCATCTCAAAGCCGAGTATTGAGAGGGAAACCCTCATCATATAGATTTCTCTCCAGTACAATTGAACGATGCAACCCCACAATAACAATACCCCACTTGATAACCGACAGTCACGACCAAACTTCAATGTTATCTAAAAGCTGGATTCAAACAAAGCGTTTTGGAGGTGGGGTAAGGTTTCTGGAACACTTGAATGACTCCACCCAAGACATATCACAATATTTTACTTCGACTCTTTATCATTGTTTTTGATTTGTATCATTTGTGATAAAATAAACCAAAATCAAATTTTTCGTTAATATGTGTATATATATGCATACACTGGTTTTATTCCAAAAATATCACTGTGCGAAATTGCTACACGCCATTGCATGCAATAAAAACGCATATATGCTAGTTTGTTTTGCTTTTTCGCCCGTTTTCGTGTCCTTATGCACGTACGAGTGCAATTTAACACTCACTTGAAAATCCCACTTTCTTTTCCTAAGATGGCTAAAAAGACCAAAAACTGATGAAGATTACTAAAAACCGAAGTTTCCATTGTACATGTTTTCCACTACTAATGTAAGGCAAGACTACGGATGTTTTTAAACACAGAACGCCATCAAAAATGAGTTTATCAACGAAAAATGTGTTGATTTTCGACCTCTGGTTGACCACATCTTAGGGTCGTCATTACACCACTAGGAGGGGAGCGAGCTATAGAGGTAAATAAATCACCGAAATAAATAGTCCTGTAAGTCCTCGACATTTTAAGCTGACTGCATTAGTTTTACAGGACCCTCTAGCTTAAGGCGCTCGGTCACATATCAACACCAGACCACTAGTGCGTATATCGTGCTACGCATCCCATTCAACTGTTAGCCAGCGTAGACCAAACGTTCGTCGACATACTTGTAGCCTTTCAAATATAACTTAGAACCTTCTCACTCGTGATTTCCGATTTGATTGAGTTGGCATACGTCGATTGTAAAGGTGTTACTGGCAAGGGCGTTGTCAGACTACGATTACTTGTGGCATCTTTAATATGCTAAGTTCCTTATTGAACGACTCCACAAAAGTCTCTATGACCACTTTAGCCCACAACAACTTGCGAAATTCAACTGTTTGTAGAGATTGGGTGTCCATGAAGTTCGTTCTGCTATATCGTGCCTCTAACTTCTAGAATTGCCCTTGTTTTCGTTAGGGCTGAGGTTTATTAAGTATTTGGGACTTCAGGTACCTCTCATAACGTCTGAATTTGTGTCCTCCAAACGATTTTATGCCTAGACCTTGAAATCATTCTGGTTTATTTTCTTACCTTTGGAGTGAGAGGGAAAATATTATACTTCCAGACAGTAAATAGGGGTGGAAAAACCGTAAAGGATTGCGTGAAAAGTTCTACTGGAAAACTGGTAAAATGTGCTTCAACGTTACCAGTGCAAGGTTTGCTCTGAAAGCATTGTTGTCACGATTAGAGTAAGCTCTTGGAAATTAGAGGTAAATAAATCGCCAAAGTATGTAGTTCTGTAGGTCCTCGACATTTATGCTGACCTCATTAACGAGCACAATGTAATCTGTTACACTGAACGACAAACTGTTCCACGCCCACAATTTCTCGCAGTAGTGAAGGCACTACCGTACGATTTCAACAGATATGTGTACTAGTCATATTTTTGGACCTTATGATAACTTGCCGAAAGTTATCTTCAAACGGAGAGAGTATCGCCATAGACGCATCCGACTCGACAACTGGGGGAGTAAAATAATGATAGTTAACTAACGCCTGGCTCTATTTGTCACCCTCGTCGAGACAACTGCAACACACTAAAAGTTTTCTCAGTATTTGTGCAGGTATAGATAACTTAATCATTCCTCATTTTATTGAAATACGGTTACAATGAAGATTGGGTGACTATGACTTTTATGAATTACCTCAGCTATAAAAATTGGTTTAAATTTCTCCACGTCATCGATCTACAGGAAGTATTTCGCATATTTTATCAATCTTCATATTATTTAGTTAGAGTGATTCACAAATATGGATGAACGTTCAATCAAGAATTTCATGGCAATCATTAGCTTCAGGAATTCAAAATGAGGTTTTATAAAAATCACTGCTCAGTTTGAAGCACACATCCACTAAAATGACGTGAAATAGACTTGAATCGCATCAGTCATAACTTCTATTGAACATCGAAACGTCCTGAACTTGTAGTTGGCGCTTATGGTTGTCCTTCAGGTTGTTTGCGGCGCTAATCAGGTGATATTTCGGTTATGATAACCGTATGGGCCACTTACTCTGGACATGCGTTGTAAGAACTCTTCTTTTTCTTAATTATTACAAGATTTGTTTCTTTTTTTCTATTCATGTGGCTCATATACAGTCGGAAAAGTATCCAATTGTAATAATTCCGGGTGATGGAGGGTGTCAGGCGTATAGCAAGCTAAAAAACTCAACGTCACCTCCTTTTTTAGTATGGATAGATCTACGTTACTTTCTCGAACCGGGGAAGCTAAATCAATACTTCGGGTAAGCTCTAATACTGTTCGATTTATCGGTTTCTAGCTTAGTGTATGATCCAGTCACTAGAAAGTCCAGGGATCCTGACATCGCAGAAGTATATTTCCCAGGTTGGGGTGAAACGTGGTCTATCGAAAATCTGGATAGTTATAAACATAGCAGAACTGAATATTGTGGCCCGATGATTGAGTCATTGCGTCTTGATCCTTTCTTTGTATCCAACTGGACTATTCGCGGCGCACCCTTCGATTTCCGTAAAGCTCCAAGTTAGTTCAAAGCCTTTAAATTAGCTTTCTTTGCAGACGAAAATGAGGGCTTTAATGACAAACTTATGCGCCTGATTGAGGAAACTTACCAAAATGGTGGAAACCGGTCTGTTGTCTTGCTTGGCCATAGTTTGGGGGCTAAATACGGTATGTACTTCTTAAAGTCAATGAAGAAAAGTTGGAAGAATACATACATCAAAACCTTTGTCTCACTCAGTGCTCCTCTTGGTGGTTCAGTAAAGGCTCTTAAAATTGAAGCGAGTGGTACGTTGTTTTTCGATTATATTTGTTCAAATGCGTCAGTGTTTATTGGTTCTTCGTTTTATTTAAAATCTTAGCATACAACTCCATTTATGATACGAAAAGAGATCACTAGCCATCATTGCGGCGGATCTTTACCCAAGATGTACGTATCTGCTTCCCATTACTTAGTGTGGGATCATCATTTATGTCGTGCACCCTTTTTGTCAACCAACAGGTCTTATGACAGTGTTTCATTGAAATGAATAATAACAAAGTACTCGAACCCCACCGATTGTTTAAAAGCCTAGGAGAAACTGCAACCGGAATCGGTTTGTGAATTATTGCTGTTCATTTCTCGAAATTCTACTTAATTTTTTGTAGTCATATTTATTGGATGAATTTTCGGCAATACTTGACTTGCCTAAATAATTGCTGATCAACTTAGTTTGTAGATAACGTTCTTGTTTGAATATTCCGATAAAATATAGCCTTATTGACACAATAAGTAACAAGAAAAAGTATTTCCATTTCTATTTGTAAATGCAAAATATTACTTTAGATTTTCTCCGCTCCAATACGTAGACTAATCATAGACAGCCAAATAGGTAATTTTGCTGGCCACCACGCTCATATTGAAAGACTTATCATATCCGGTTAATGGCTAACAAAATGTCTGCACTACCACTTAAAGCCCATTTGGTTCTCACCAATTTGCACTTCTAGTGACTTAGGACCAGTTGTACTGCTCATTGGTCCGCAACTTGCTGTCTCTTTTCTGATCTTCATTGTCAGACTGTACTCATTCTATCCTACCATTTTATTATTTCATAAACGGAACCAAGGTTTCCTAGTCTACACTATGTTTTTTGTGGTTGTAAACTAACGTCATTTCACGGATATCAGTTCTGTGTAAAACATCTAAAGTCTTATATTCACTTTTCCTGTCAATATACTATTGTTGTTACTGATGGTTTGTAACTAAAGTGATCATGTAACTCAGGGGCTTTTCACACAAATGTTATTTATTCCAGTCGCATCAACTGACACAGCTGTTTGAATATGTAATATTCGTAGTTACTTTCAGCAAATCAGCGTATACTTTAACAAATCTTAATATCATGGGTTCAGTTTATAATTGGATGATATTGATGTCTTGAAGCATCGGGTGACACGATGCTTTAATAATAGCAAGTTTATTATCCCGATATTTGCCAAGGATTAGACTTTTATACTTGAAGTAGAGGTACAACAGTGCAGACATGCTGTGAAGTTTTATTCAATATTCCATTAGTGGTAAGGCCATAAGAAGCAAACATTCAGGTGTTTTACCAGCCTTATTGCTAGGATTGATTAGTGAGAATAAGAAATCCATCCATTATATGGGAAACGCTTCTATGTAAACGACTGATTCCTATTTATAGCTGTCAGTATAATGTATCTTTAATGAATAATCTCATGCAACTCTTTGATATTTTCTGGCGAACAACGTCTGCAATTGTTTTCTGGAATAAGTAGGTAATGTATTTATTTATGTATTTGAAGTACTTTCACAATAAGCCTGTCCTTTTTAAACGTTGTTTAGATGTGCTGCTATTTTTGTAGGAGATAACTTTGGTGTGTTTTTACGCAGTCCACTTAGTTTCCGTCCTGTTCAACGCACGCTACCTTCTCTTGCTTTCCTTCTCCCGGATTCTCGTTTGTGGTCACCAACCGAACCTCTTATTATAACACCAACAACAAACTATTCTGCTCATGACTACGAACGTTTCTTTCGTGATGTCAATTATTCAATCGGTGAGGAAATGAATATTGTACACTCAGTCTTTTCATTTTAACTTGATAACTGTTTTAATGAGAATTTACTAACGATAGAAAACAAATCATTAAATTTCAATTCAGTGATTGAGTAGCATTGTGCATAACGTCTTTAACTTATGTGCGTACTGCTACGATGCCGTATACTAGGACAAGTCAGTTATCCACTGTTGCGTGTTTTCAAATGGTGATTCAGTTTATATTGAGCTGTGGTCTAAATGATTATCAAATTGAACCAGTCTTCATAGATACTAAATCGAGGAACAAGGTAATTTGTAACCAAATTACTATACTGCGGATCGTCGTTGAACAATCAGTTGAATGGAACTCGTCATTATATATCTTCATTGACTATGAGAACGCGTGGACATTATAGAAACTTCTTCGGCACTATGGAGTTCCTGAGAAGATTGTCAACGTTATCCGGAACTCATACGACGAACTGCAATACAAAGTTGCGCATGGAGGACAGCTTATAGACGCATTCTAAGTAAGGACCGGAGTCAAACAAGGCTGTCTACTCTCCCCCTTCCTCTTTTGTTGGTTGACTGGATTACGAAGACCTCGACGTCTGAGGGGAAACACGAAATAAAATGGACAACTTAACGCAGCTGGACGATTTGGATTTTACCGATGACCTAGATCTTCTATCACATATACCTTAAGAAAAGGTCAAGACAAACAGTGTAGCAGCAGCCTCCGCCTCAATAGTCCTCATCATGCACAAGGAAAAGGCAAGATCCTCAAATACAACACAGAAAACACCAACACTATCACACTTGAAGGAGAAACTGTGGAAGAGATGGAACGTTTTATGTACCTGATCAGCAGCACGATCGATGAACAAGGAGGATCGGATGCAGACGTGAATGGGAATATCGGCAAAGTAAGGGCCGCATTCCTACAATTGAAGAACATATGCAACCTAAAACAACTGTCTGCAAGCCAACATCAAAGTCATAATCTTCAATACGAACATCAAGACATTTCTACTGAACGGAGCTGAAACTTGGAGAACTACCACAGACATCATGAATAAAGTGCAAGTATTCCTAAACAAATGTCTACACAAGATACTGAACGTCTGTTGGTCGGGAACCATCAGCAACAGCCTTCTGTGGGAAGGGACAAGCCAGCTTCCAGCTGAATAGGAAATTAGGAAAAGATGTTGGAATTGGATAGGACATACATTACGGAAATCACCAGACTGCACCACGAGGTAAGCCCTAACTTGGAATCTTTAAGAGAAGCGGAAAAGAGGAAGGCCTAAGAACACATTACATCGGAAAATAGAAGCGAATATGAAAAGGATAAATAACAACTGGAAAGGATTGCTCAGAACAGTGTTGAATGGGGAGTGCTAGTGGCGGCCTATTCTCCTCCACGAGGACAAACAGGTGTAAGTAGGTAAGTTTGATTATCCACCAAACTCAGTCGACAAAGAAACCTGTTGTTTGCAACCATCAACAAAGGTGTTGGCGATCTTTTGGACAAACTGAAGATTATAACCTAAATTTCGTAGACATTAAAACCACGTCAATTACTCATGATGTGAATAATATATGAAAAAGTTGAGTGTTAGAGTGAGTTTCTAAGATAATAATTATGATATGTGTTGAGAAATCTTAAGTAATGCAGTTCAGAAACAGTCGTACTAGTGCAGATCCATTTATTCTGTATCTTCTGGTATTATGTTTTGTTTTTCACAATTACTTACACAATGTTTTTCATTCCTTTGATTTTCATGTAGTCGCTTTTTTAATCTCTTCACTGACATTTAGTGTGGCAACTTAGCCTGATTTACATTTTTCGCTAGTCATAAGTTGTTTATGAATAACTAAATCCCAAAACCAGTAGAAATTACAGGATGTTAATGCCAGATAATACATCACGAAATAGTTTCAAATGATCTCATCGTTTTCATTTGCCTCTTCACTTGTTTTACTTTCGTAATAAATCTTGGATAAGGATGTTATTACTAGTGAAGTCTTTTTAACAGTTGTTATAGTGGTTAATAAAGTTCATTCAGTAACTTATTTCACTCTCAATATCTGGGTGGATCTGCATGCTAAAATTCATGAATTCGAGTAGTTGATTCCAGTATTGTACCGACAAAAAGTAACTATCTAATCAAGTTAGTTAATTAAATTTATTGCTATTGTTTAAAAGTGTTATGGCATATAAGTGTGGAAATTATCTTAATTTCATCGAAAAGCATTTTCTAAATTACTATGTTCGTTTCTACGGCCACCACTTCATTCAACCGGTCTCCAAATCAAAACAGGGCTTGGAGAAATGTAATTATGTTTCGAAGAAAAGGGCAAAGTTAATCAGTCGTATATCAACAAAACGATCAAACTTTATGAACGGAATAGTTTTCAGTGAATATAAATCTTAGTGCGTTATTTAACACAATGAAGATTCATTTTGAATAAGTTAAATTAACTTCATATTGAACAAATCGATACAGGACAAAAATACAAAAAGTCAGTAAACAAAATTCCCTTTCAATCAACTTGAGGTTTCTAAAACTGGTTTCTTAAATGTATTACTTGGGGTTTTCACATCCTCAGCAGAAACTTTTATGGAGCAAACGTTTAAATCATTGTTTTACTTAAAATTATCACACTGTATTGTTGCACTCTTATACATTTTTATCCTCAGGTTTCCAGATGATGTTGGACAGTAAATCTATAATTGATACACTCGAAAAACCAAGCGATATTGATGAAATCTATTGTATTCATGGGGCAAATTTGAGCACTACTGACCAAATGATTTATTCACCGCCCAATTTCTTTCATGGTGGATTCCCAGATCAAGTGCCGACTTTGATTCCTGGAAATGGTGATGGGACTGTTAGCCTACGTAGTTTAGAAGTCTGTAAACGTTGGCCTGGTATAAAATATTTCGTGTTACCTGGGGCTGAACATGTAAATATTATGGGAGATCCTCGTTTTATTGATATTATTCGTCAAATTGTTGGTGCTAATACAACTTAGACATTAAACTGTTGTTAGTTATTTTCTTCATTTTATTGTTTACTTCTTCACTATAATAAGATTCTCATTTCATACAATTTCCACCTAATAATTCGAATTATTTGTTACACTATGTGATGGTGGTCAAGGTAGACTGCAAAGTATTAGACACATGATCGTGAGTGTATCGAATGTCATATTGATATGCTCTAACTTGAACAATATTTTTGTTTTCATCTGGATAAGATTAGGATAACAGAATCTATGTTTTCTGTATTGTTTTTATGTCCTCATGATTTATTTCCATTATTACGTTATTTTATTTAAAAGTTATTGTTCTAATTAGTACCAAGGAACTATGTTTAAGTTCGAAAGGGTTGTAAAGGTTTTCTTTTTGTGTTAAAATAGGTTTAATCATAGGTTGACATCAACTAGAGAACCAGAGCCTATCTGAATCAACTCAATTTACGTTCTCTTGACAGTATACATCCATAATTCCACGTAAAATCAAATCCAGGGCATTTAGATTTCGTAGAAAGTATGATACTTGTAAACAACTGAGTCGTAATTAGAACAAAACAGCAACCCAATATTTTTCTAGTTTTTGATGGTTTTCCAGCCGATTTTAGTCTTTCATAAAACTAACCTCGAATATCTTATGTGGTTATTTGTCTTGTGGGAATAAACATAACTATTAACAAACTACTATGCTGAATTGAGCAAATGTGTTTGTATATTAACGGACACATGTTTGGCTTATTAGTCTTAATAGTCAGATCTCAACTATTGGGTTGTAGATCCCACTCGAAGATAGCATCTATAATTGTTATCTGATGGATATAGCTCAGCCTCTCGTAAATCAACCTGTTCTTGTTTGTCAGAAAGCATATTTCCACGTACATCCCTACCATACGTGTTATCAGTTTACCCTAATGTGTGCAGATATATTATTAGCAAATAATATTTCATTTTCATCCTTATTATTTCCATTGTTCCTTATATCGCGTTAATCAGGACTGAGTTAGTTAGCAGTGATTACAGATTAGTATAAGCTTAATATGGTGTAACGTTACACAAGTATATGATGCATGACATCTCTGTATTGTAGTAATATAACGACCACTTTAGTTAAAAGTACTAGGTAAATGTTCAGCATCTAATAACTGTTGAGTTGGCAAAAATAATAAAAAGCTAAGTTTTTAGGACAAAAAATATGTAAGTGTATCAGTTTGGTTTTCGATCTCTTAACGTCTCTTATTCATTTGAAGTCATGGTGCGATACGATGTCTGGGATAAGCAATTCATAGTCTTCTCTAAAAACCTGCTGACCTATTGACGGAATCAGCAAGTTAGCAATAGTTAGGCCTAGAGAACCTAATAACATGATTGGTTGCTTCACGAGATTATTATCCTAGTCACATACTGTCACTCAGGCTGGTGTGAAAGTAGATCGAAAAAAAGCCACTAACACGTGAATTGAAAATATAATCAGTTCATGAAGTCTTCAGTAACCTTACTGATTCAAATCAAGATTTGTAGGTTTTCTAGTCAGTGTTTGTAAGAAAATCATGACAAATTACTAATGACATAAAAGTGAGGTCCAAGTTAAGTAACTAGCTAATATATGTACGCTTTTACTTCAATGTTGCATTATTCTCACTTGTTCAATTCAGATTCGTTTTAGTTTTCCACTGCTATTGTAAACATGGTTCTTAATACTACCATCTCCCTTTTGTTATGTTTCGATGTGCGGATTTAAAGTGTGCCAATTCGAACCTTTATCTATATATATATATATATATCTATATATATATATCTATATATATATATATATATATATATATATATATATGCCAGGTCTTATTGTGTGTTTTTGGTAACGCGATAAGTACTGTGCAGGTTCTCATTTGATAGACTGTATTGCACTCAAGATAGTCAGTTCTGATATGTCTTGTGGGTTGAACGCTTATTCAGATCCTAAGCTATTCGGACAACCCCAGGCTAGCACTACTCAGCAACTTGAAGACCAGAGAGAAGACACGAGTAGCGAGAAGATGCTTTATTGCAAGGTTCAGTTTTGTACAGAAAAATCGTAAGTATTTATAGGTGTTCGCTTAAGTTAAATCAACATCCTAATTCAGCCAATCCAATAAACGACATATATTGCTACTGACCAATGGTAGCATGCCACGTTGGAACTCCAGAATGTTCTGTCGTGCTCTGATTGGTTGGAGCTCTTTTTGAGCCTCTGTTGGGGTTCTCTGGAAACCGACTTAACAAGTTCAGTACACTGTAATATAGAAGTCAAAAGCTTGAGTTTTCCTTTTACTGAGATGAAAATATTCCAATGTTTTGGATTTTTTAGGATCAGATCATTATTTTTCTGAAGATTGAGGTTTCCAAACCAATAAATGTTTTTTTCTCAACATTGGTAATGGTGTCAGGGAATGCTTCTGATTCATAAGGTCGTTTTGGAATGTCTGACATTCCTTGCAATAACAATAAAACATATTATTCAGTATAATACTTCCGAGCTTAGCGATGATACATCTAGGAGTAGCAATATTATGAATGTAGGTAAGTACGTTTATGCAGTCATTTGAACCTCACTTTTTTCGGTAGGAACTGAAAAATTACATTGTTTAGTTTGTTTATCTGTGACATACTGTCCATGCAAGCTTAACATGCAGAAATGGTAGCTTTATGTTTTCATGTTGGTTCCACGTAATTATAACCGATCTTATGTACATTCTGGATGGTAGTGATGAAAGTTTACAGATAAGCTTTTCAGAAAACACAATTATGGAGAGTTGCATAATTTGGCTGATCACTCTGATCTTCTTTAAATTATTTCAGTAAAACTAAATGATTATTTTGTTTTATTTTGCAAATTTTTAAAGTATTTTAGCATACATTTGAAATAACTCTATCTTTTACTCTGTGATGTCGAACTTAATGATACGAGGAGTTTGCGAATGCTATTGTTAGTTTGTTTTCACTGTTCACATAACCAAAAACTATTCCTCATCACAAGGGGGTTTTGTGGAGATTTTAGTAATTTTTATAGTTAAGATCATGACTCAATTGAAGATAAACCGCCGTGGAAAACCTGGAAGCACTGGACGGCCGTTTCGTTTTATTGTGGGACTCCTCAGCAGTGCGCATCCACGACCCCGCCTCGCGGGATCCTTGAATTTTGCAGTTACGTTCAACATAATCACCAAGTTCCAATATACGATTCTTCCAACCACAAATTGGGCTAATGCAGCCGCTGGTAAGTAGAGTCCGCCCCAGTTCTCAAAACTCTCTCAAATACCCATGCTTTTATAGCCTCTTCCATAAAATCCCCACTCACTATCTTTACACGGCGGTCCTGTTTTTTACAGAAGTGAGAAAACGGAAAGTGAAAGCCTGGCACTTAAACTAGGTCGGTGGACATAGAGTGTTCACCTAGGGGAGTTAGGAAATCGTGATTCTGAACCAACAGTTTGTTTAGAGTTCACGATCCTTATGGAATGACTAGTGTATAAACCTGATTTTAGTTAACGTTCATTCCCCCTAAAAAACATTTACTCTAGTTTGGGTGCGTTGGCAATATCTCAGTCCTCACAAAAATATGATGATAACTATCATGAAGCATATATTCTCACGAACCGTATAAACAGTATTTTAAAATACCCAATAACATGCAAATTTATTTTACACTGCTTCATCTCTCGATTCATTTTTATTTCCATTATTTGTAAACTTTTATTTTTCAACTTACACAACAACTCGTCTTTGTTTAATGTTCTATCCTGTCTAAACGATCTCAAGTTGCCAAATGGTTCCACCGAATAACTCTCCCGATATAGGTTTCCTGAAACCACATGTGGCATTTATTCTAGTCTCCTCCAACTTTCACACACTCATGCACGTCGGACAACAGATAGGTATATCACTTTTTAAAATTTTTCGATATCGATGTCCGTTGTATTTCTAAGACCCGTATGTAAGACTGTTGTGAAGTGCTACAAATTCATTCTCCATCTACTGGTTCGATAAGTTCGTTGCATATGTAATGATCTATGAACCGTATGTCATCTTCCTGTATTAGTCGTTGATGTTGCACTAGTTGCTAGAAGAGAGGCCTTATTAATCGACTGGATCCCCACTAGCAGTTGTTTACATGCCGTTAGACTAGAAATCCTCATCAAATCGTCAACTGCGTCCAGACTGATTGCAACTCGGATACGATAACGAACGAGTCTTACCACTAATCAAATTGTCCAAAGAAAGCATATTCGACAGACATTTTAGTGTAACCCAGTGATTTCAATGCGGAGACTAAGCGTCTAGGCATAGGCGACTTGCTAAGGTAACCACTGAAGACTCGATGGTCTTAAGTCGAATAGCGATGACCGTCTCCTACACCTGTGCACAAATAATATTTTGTTTCTGGCGTTCAATAACCTCTGATACAGTCAAAGCCGATGTACTACTTGGTGTAGCATCTCTACAACCTAAGCCTGGACTCATCGATCACATTGCGACCAGCTGCCGCTGATATTATTGTGTACAAGATCCCATCTCCTTTTGAAATACCTATCTGGACTCCTATCATGATCTAGTTTGTGACAACCTTATCTTACGCTTCAATGGCTAACGGATTAATTTGAATAAGTTGGTTGCACCTTCAGTTGTGACTAAATATTTAACTGTGATTGGTTCAAAGCTTGCTGCCAGTTCACCGAAATGCTTAAATGATCATTAACTATGTTTAAATTATCCCATGTACATGGCGAGTAAAGTCGCTCGCGGTTTCGTAAACTGTCCCACTTATGTGTACTAAGCTTTTTATAACTCTTTGGGGCACCCCAGTCTGGTGTGGCGAAATAAGATTTTTGTGATTAAGTAAATTCTTATATCTGGAAATTTCACAAAGTTTACTTAAGAACCAAAAAGCCTGGCTGTTGTAATGTTTTATGGAATTGGAAATAGCAGCTGCATCTGGTAACTGCTGGAAGCTATTTCGAATAATCCGATCAACTGGAAGCAAGAAGCCTATTGTGAGTGAAACAATATGCGAAGTAGATGTAACGTCAGTCTAACGACGTCTTCTACGACGGAAATGGCTTTTCAACGAACATTTTAGCTGGTCCGTTGCTGCAGCAACGTTGTTCAGACTGTTCTGTACTCCTTGACCGATGACTACCAACCTGCCTTACGAGGCAAAAGTTCACAGCGAGTCTTAACTTTCAAATCGTCATAAGTTCCCAGACTTAAAAGACTTAGTTTCATCTCTTTATAAATAGTGACAAATTTCTTGTCAAGGTATCGACTGAAGTTTTTGAAAAAGTATGAGCAATAAGGAATGCTGAAACACCCAGGAGTGAAGCAATTGTCTTCGCCGTCTCCAAAACGTTCCACGTCATTTATGCAACAACTATCGAGGGGCAAGTCTACTTTCAATTGCGCATAAACTACTGGCCAATGTGTTATACTTCGCAGATTGTTCAAAGCTCGTGAAAAACTAACTCACACGGAGCAGACTGCGTTTACACTAGGTTGCGGTTATTTTTGGTCATATTTTTACACTCCATTAAATGTTAGAACACTGTCATACTTACTGCATGTCAACAATCGTTTTGTCCCTTGATGTTGGGATCTTCATCGGTTTGTTGGACGACAATGTTAAAGAGTGTCTTAGAAGCTTATTAACACATGTATCTGTTATCTGGAGGAAGATTTCTTGGACTTCAGTATACCGACTAAGTCGTCTTGCTATGAGCTTATACACAGACTAAGTTGGACTATTAACCGGTACATATTCTTGCTGATGAACCATCAGAAAAACTCCGTGTATCTAGGTAGCTATGTAAGTGATGAGGTCAATCTACGTATTTTGAAAGTTGAAGCGGCTAATGACGATTCGGGCCATCTTTAGTCCCATTATGATGTTAATCTGGCTACCAAAAATCGCGTTTGCAACGCGTTAGTGATATAAGTTTTTCCCAGTGTTTATGAATGAAGATGTAAGACAGTTCCTTGCGTCTAACCGTCGTTCTCTTAAAAAGGTTTCTGACGTCCAGTAGAAACACCAGCTAATAACCCCGAGGTTCGGCGATGTGTGTTCAGATACAGTGACGATAACTTTGTTGGTGTCAACATCTTAAAATACCAGTTTACGTGGCTTGAACATATGTTACAAGTGTCATCCAAGCGAATTCCATGTCGTTCATTATTTATTGGGTTAAAAAATCAGACAGCTGATCAGTTTATGACATAGTGCCGGATGTGTAAAAAACTGCATAGTTCTGTCATCTGTTGGACGATCAGGACTCCCTGGATAGGTCCCTCTGACTTGAATCGTTATCAAACATGACTCAGAACAAAATTTAATAGAGGTCTTGCTGCATCTTTCTCCATGACTTTATGAAAATGGAGTGAGGTTCCTTAACTAAATTAAGTATCACTGTATTTTCAACCGAAATGTTTCTCCT